GTTCGTCGAGGAATGATCCCGATGTAGTTGCTGCAAATGGTTGGATCAGCTTTTTTTCTGAATTGGGAAGAGAACTCTTCAATTCTAATCAACAGGTAGAGGTATACATTTTGCATGCATCCCACCGGTTACTCTCGGCCGTATTTGAATAGCTCTTCCGGCAATCCATCGGTTCCTGTAGGTTTATAACTTTTGAATCAGGCTTTTACTATCTTAATCTCATCATAATTAAAAAAGGAAATATCGGGCTCGGGGCCCTCGCAATCTACATAGTTTCCGCTATTTTAGCCTTTCAGCAGAAACTCTCTCCGAATTTTAATGGTTCTCTGGACATCTCCCCCCGGTTTCAACTTGAAATCTTCCATAAGTTACCGAACTTTCTTGAAAAGTTTACGGACTTACAGATTTTAATTAATTAATTAATTAATTAATTTTTAATTTTTAGTAAATAGTCTCAGACTTCGTTTCCTTGCACCACCGTGACTATTTAGAAGTACATGACCTAAATGAGATTGTCTCAGGGGACCTCGTGTTGTTACTTAATAAGATATGACTGGTTAAGAAGTCCTGTAAGCAAATAGAGGTAGCGGTAACTAGTGAACCTACAGCCTCCTCTAACTATTAATCCAATCAAATATAGTTATACATAATACAAATATTCGAAATTACACAATTAATATTTTTAAATCAAAATTTAAAAAGTATAATACATACAGACACCACCGCTTTACACTTACCCTCCTATTCTAACAAAGTCACACAACTCAGAGGATCACTATTGTTACTTTTACTGCGTCCGAAATATGCCACAAGGAAATGCACAGCATACGTTGAAGCGCTGTAGAAATCACAATAGAGATGCGCTGAGTTTTGTGTTTTGTTTAAATAGGGGGGGTAATTGCCATTTCGCTACACTTTAAAGTCGAAGAGCTCATTGGTCTTGGAGAGGAGATTTGCATAAAAACCAATAGGACAAACATTAAAATGGAAATGCTGTTTTGTTAATTACAACAACAAATATATATCTAACTACACGTTTCTAACTACAAATACTCGCACATACTCTCAATCGAGCTCGGATGCTCTTTGAGAACAACACAACACTTACATATGTCGAATTTCCACTATGCAATGAGGTGACCAAAAATTTTGTGGAATTAAAAAAACGTCATATGAAGGCGAATTTAATGACTATTTTGATTAATTATTATTAACGTAATCACATCTGTGATACTTTTAAATACCATACTATTTCATTAAAATTCATGCCATTTAATGCCTAGTTGAAATACAGCATTATACCGAATTACTAGCGATCCAAAAACCAAATTTATTGTTTAATTGAAAAATGTAACAAGTCCTGAATAATATAAGAAATAAAATTTATGTGTGATTTGATTCGTCGGACATATACAAAATTAAATTTATTTGTGATTCTTCGGTCAAATAAAAGATAATACTTACTCGTGATTTGATTTGTCGAGTACATCAATTTGTTTGTGATTTTCCAACTAAAAAATACTTTTTTCAATGCAAATCAAGTTATAAGTATTTTTTTTTGTTGGCGAATCAATTCACAAATACTTTTTTTTTGGTTGATAAATCAAATAACCAATTTTTTTTATTTGTTTGACGAATCAAATTACAACTAATGGAATTTTTTATTTGAAGAATTAAATCGCAAAAAAATTAATTTTTTATTTGTCCAAAGAATCAAATCTCAAATAAATCTTATATTCTATTTGTCCGGCGAATCAAATAACAAATAAATTAAAAATTTGTATTTAGTAGTGGAACCAAACCACACCTAAATTTTATTTTTTATTTGACCAACGAATCAAGTCACAACTAAATTAAATTTTTACTTCTCCATCGAGTCAAATCACAAATATATTTTATTTTCTAATCGGCAGAGAAATCAAATCACAAATAAAATTTTTTTTGTCGATTAATCAAATCACAAATCAATTGGATTTCTTAATTAAAAGCGGATTTAAAATCAAAAACTTTTAAATTATGCAATGCTGTGTGTAAGCAAACTTAATTACTTTTATTTTTAACACAATGATCCGGTTTTTTGATGCCCAAATTAGTCATACAAAATGTTTCCATTTAATGGCCAGTGGAAATCCGGCATTAGCTACAAACACGTTAATGGAAATGATTAGTTGTTTATTCATTGTATCGCTGCACACAATTACACTCTACTTTAAATTTCTCGCTTCAACTAACCCTTTAGTAAGATTGGCTGTTGTATTTGTATACCAAATCCATAATTCGTTGAATTCTGTACGCAGCTTTGGAGCGGTCTCAGAAGTCTGTGTTGTACCGGTTGAACCATCGAAACGGTCTATGGAGTCTAAGGAGTCTTTGGAGTATGAGTAGTCTGTTTCATCGTCCGATGACATTGAATATAACTCTATATCGTGGATATCTTCAAGATTATCATTGAACACTAGAAAAAATAGGAGTCAAGAGAAGCTTTAAACATATAGTATGTTGCAAAGAAACTATAAATGTGCCGCTTTTCAATAACAATTTCAATGCAACAATTGCAAATACTTTCAGCTTATTTACAATATTGATACTCGGGTATATAGAGGGTGTCCTAGACCCTTTTAGTAGGTATATGTTAGGGCGCCTCACTAAAAAAAAGTGGAGATATTTCCACGGGAATAAATATTTCGTATAAATATTAAGATTTACGTGAGCTGCGCCGATTTGAAATTGCATCCAAAAGAGGAGTGTTTTTCTACATATGTAAATAAAATTATTTCATAAAAAAAAAAAATCAAAAATATCACCTTAACTTAAAGTGTTTGCATAAAAATGTTTAAAAATTTTATCAACGGAATCAAAGTAAAGATATTTTTGGAGATGTTTTCAAATCGGTCCAGTTCACGTAGGTCTCAATTCAATTTTTTTGCTGTCTATCGAGAGTGGTAATATATTTAAGTATATGCAAGCTTGAAGTATAGTCGTGTTTCCCTCCACCGTACTAAAAATATCAAATTCCATTTGATTTGGAAATTTTAAATTTTAGAAAAGCAAGTATTTTATTTGAAAACTTTTCCTCCCAACATGCAACATTTCTAAATATTTATGTACAGTATCGGTCATATCTATAGCACGCCATTTCAAAGTGATATTGTGTGCCACTTATGTTTATTTATTTATTTTTAAGAATTTTCAATTAAGATACAGTTCTTTCTCAAACAAACCCCATACAAACCCAAGTATAACAATTTGTAGAAAACTTCAAAAAAGTGCAACGAATTTTCACCTAAGTTTCAAACTTTTTTCTCGGAAGTGTTAGAATTTTTTTGAGTACACAGTTTTTT